AAGTGATGGAGTTTTTGAAATATGATTTGAGGTTGGAGGTTGTGTTTGGGCTTGGAGGAGGTGAGGGGGGGAGGGAGGGAGTCAGGAGTAAAATTTGAAATGCAAAAAGCACTGCTTTTGTTCAGAGTTTTCCCCTTTTGTGTTACCGACAGTGCAGAAACACAGTCTAATGTCCTGTAAATACAGCAAATCTCAAACGCAGCCACCAGCCGCAGCAGCACAGCGCTTACTTACTTCCTCAGTGCATCGCTCGTAGTGTTTTTTTTTCTCCTTTTTCTACTACGCAGAAGACTCTGCTGAGGCCAATTAGCACGATTACAGGCCCTGACAGAGATCACAGCCCCTCCTCTAGTGTTTACTAAGACCCGCTCCATCTCGACCCCTCTAACTTCATCAATCACTTTAAAAGCACTAAGTTCCTATGTAATGTATTATTCAGAACATGAATGTTTCATGGTGCTAATAAATGCTAGTTCATCAACTTTTGCTCGTTTTTGCATTGGCGATGCACTAAGCATTCCTATTTATGTGTAAATGAATACATGCATTTGCTGCTGTGGAACAGACAGCCGCTCACATCTCTCATTGAGCAGAACTGAAACATGGGCAAATGTAAAGGAAAATATTACACATGCTGAAATAGGGAGTTTGCATAAGATTTCTAAGTAAATAATGAAAAGCAGAAACTTTTGATTTATGTTTTAAATTTTTTTCTGCCTTGTTTGGGCTTCTCCGAGTGATCAGAAGTGTGTCAGTTTCGTGACCTGCTTTATTTGAACTTGCGTGTGCGTATGTGTGAAGAAAGTCTGAGGACGTATTGTCATTAGTTGAAGCTTTTCTCCTGCGGTTGCTCACAGATTGTCTTAAGATAAGCCTTGATGGTGTAGTGGGTTTCTGAAGTGCCTTTGAAAGTCATGCTGAAAATGGCATGTGGTAAATGCCTTACTGTAAATGGAGAGCTTATCTCTGCAATCTTGCATGATCGTGTCTGATATACCAGGTCAGCCAGTGGCAAAGTGGAAATGATGCTACTTTATAATGTCAGGTTTTAAATGGAGCTCTCTGAGTTAGGTTCTTTCTTTAAGTCTTGTGAAGTACCTTTGTGGTTTTGAGGATCCGTTTGTTAACAAGGGGACCTTTGAAGAGTTGTTTTCTGGAGAGTGAACATGTGTACAGTATTGGTTTAGTTCGCCCTCTCGGCTGTGTTGATCCCACCCTTTAAAAATCAAGAAGTTCAGACTTCTCAGAGATGCTGGCATCTAAGTGTATTGAGTATGTCCCACAGAGCTACAGGAAGTACACCTAATTATTAACTAAGTGGTGGTGAGGAGGGAATCAACCAGATTGCTTCATAGGGTGAGAGAAGATCAACCAGCTTACTTCATGGGGTGAGGGAAGATCAAGCAGGTTACTTCATGGGGTGAGGGACGATCAACCAGGTTACTTCATGGGGTGAGGGAAGATCAAGCAGGTTACTTCATGGGGTGAGGGACGATCAACCAGGTTACTTTATGGGGTGAGGGAAGATCAAGCAGTTTACTTCATGGGGTGAGGGAAGATCAAGCAGGTTACTTCATGGGGTGAGGGAAGATCAAGCAGGTTACTTTATGGGGTGAGGGAAGATCAACCAGGTTGCTTCATAAGGTGAGGTAGATCAACCTGGTTGTCACAAAGTGTGAGGCAACATTACCCAAGGTTGTTTTATGGGGTAAGGGTAGACAAAGAAGATTGTTATAAAGAGTAAATGAAGATCAGCCAGTTTGCTCCAAAGTGTGACATAGGAAGGAACGATCAACTAGGTCACTATAGTGTGAGGGAAGATCAGCCAGGTTGCCACAAAGGGTGAAGACAGGATCAACCATGGTTGCTGTAGGGTGAGGGAAGATCAACCTGGTAGTTGTAGGGTGAGAGAAGATCAACCTGATCACTACAGGCTGAGGGAAGATCAACCAGGTCACTATAGGGTGAGGGAAGATCAACCAGGTTGCAATAGGGTGATGGAAGATCAACCAGGTCAGAATAGCATGAGGGAAGATCGACCAGGTCACTACAGGTTGAGGGAAGATCAGCCAGGTCGCTATAGGGTGAGGGAAGATCAACCAGGTCAGAATAGCATGAGGGAAGATCAACCAGGTCACTACAGGTTGAGGGAAGATCAACCAGGTCGCTATAGGGTGAGGGAAGATCAACCAGTTTTCCACAACAGATTATCATTTGGAAAAAAAAATGGTAATTTACATCACTTCCAGAAAGTGATCCCATTGACCATTCCAATACTAATGACAAAGCCAGTGCCAATGACCACAGTGCACCTAAACAAATGCACGCTGCACCCGTCCCTTAACTTTTGCCTTACTGGCTTAATGGCTGCATTGTGACTGTGGTTAAAAAAAGTCAAAAATCCAATACTAGAGTTAATATCTGCCTGCCTTAGCCAGCTAGCTCAAAAGTCAGCTGCCCAATCTTCTAGTAAAGTCTGGTCTTCTTCTCTTGCCCTTAGATGCAGGCGCTGGCTGGGCCAGACAGCGGCCGCTACCCCCCGGCCAGCCACATGCCCATGCTAAACAGGTCTTCTAGGATACTGCCCCACCCCATGAGCGCTCTGTCCCAGCTCAGCTCTCAGATTGGCCGAGGCCCCTATACTCGCGGCTCCCCCTCATCGCCGGGAAGCCAGTCGGCCACGCCCTCTCCTTCGAGCTCCGCCCAGGAAGAGGAAGCAGATTACCTCATGAAGGTACAGGGAAGGGAAGTGGACTGTTTTCTGTTTGAAGTGCGGATTGCCTGAAAGTGCTGAGGACCAGGAGTTAATGGAGGCTCTGGACGTGTAGTTTCAGATATTTAGATGACTTGTTGTTTAAGCGGGTGTTTAAAACATTTTCTCTTTCGTACAAGAGTTTTTTTTTTTTAGTTCATGTAGAAGTAACTGTGATTGTCAAATGCTTCTTCCGCAAGTGGGCCCTTTTATATTGTTTACAAATTACAGCTATTCAACTTCACATACAACCACCTTTTGTTCTTCCCTTTAGTAAAAAACGTTGTCTTTTCTCTTTCTCCCGCGCTCTCTCACTCTCTCTCTCTCTCACTCTCTGTCTCACCCTTTTTCTATTTTTATTGTCCTAGAAATCCAATTACTCCAGCTTGTCCGTCATCCTCTTCCTTTATTGAAAGTGTCAGTTGGAATTTAATTTGACTGCGGCAGTAATGCACTGGCTGCTAGAAATCCCTCATTATCACGATGCAGCATGCTTAATTGGATCCAAGAGTAAAAAGAGTGAATTAACTTACACAATGCTTAAATGACATTGTTTTAGACCAGCGGATTACACAAAGGTCTATTAGAGCGGAACACTGTTCACTAGGTGTGCTCTAGGCTGTGTAAATTTGGACGTTCTTAACGTTCTCTGTGTCTACGTGATTCAGACAGATGGTTTTGTTGCTGGCGTTTGTGGTGTAGAACACAGTTTGGACAGAAATGAGTATTTCTGTGGCATTTTTTTTTTTTTGCTGCCCTCATACATACATATATCACACACTCACATACCCATACAACTCAGCATGCACACAGTTTCTTGAAGCAGTTTTTTGCTTGTTTTTAAAGGAGGATTCCACACATTTGCCAAATTTTTACATAATTCAATCATTGGGGTGTAAACAAAGTCATTCAGAGTGGTTTGATATGAAATAGTTCATAGTAGAGAAATGTACGATTTCTTTGTAACAAGAGTGATAAAACCAGAAGTTGCAGTGATAACAATGCAAGTAGCCATTTCATTTACTATCCAAAATGGCCAGTGAAACTACATCTCTTCTCAGTTTTTATATATAACATTGATATATGTCGGTAAATGTAAAGTATATGTTTTCTTTGGCTGCTGTTTTGCCTGGTAATCCAGGTTCAGAAAGTGAAAATGCTACATGGACACCTCCTGAGCTTAATTAGAGAGACCAGGTAGTTACTTATAGTGCATGTACCTCTCCACCATAAATGTGATTTAAGGCTTAAGGCTTTTTTAAAAAAATTGTAAAACAATTTCTCAGGCAACATATTTGCAACCATTTCGTGTAAGAAGTTTCTGTGAGGGAGCTTTGGAAGGCATTATTAAACATTTTGGACGTCTGGTTCCTATCACCACCACTGTGAACAATTCTCACTTTTCCAGATTTCACATCAAACCACTCTGACTTTACATCTTAACATCTTACATCTTAATGATTGTTTACGAGATAATTATTTATACATTTGAAAAAATTGGTGAAATTCCCCTTTAATTCAAACAGTGGCATGTAGTTACTGTCAAATGAAAACCCCCAGTTTACACTGTGTAAAGATTTCATAACAAATAGGCCAATAGAAATGGTTCATAATTACTTTTGACTTAATGGTTGTTCTGTTAATGCACGTTAAAATTAAGCAGTGTTTTTTCTTGTCATATAAAGTTACCTTTTTGAGGTAGCGCTGATATGTTCCTGTAAGGAGTAATGGATTTAATGAATGTAAATCCATATAGTAAGGTAAGTCTTGGCTGCTCTCCAGGCAGCTTTCTCAGCACACATGGCTCTCTCTCTCACTCTCTCTCTCTACCTCGGGGAGTGTGAGAGAGCGAGCATAAACACAATAGAGCTGTAACTGAATCAGGGAGGCTTTACTTTTGCATATTTATCTGCAGCTGTGCACCAGGTACACACACACACACACACACACACACACACACACACACACACACACACATATATGCAGGGTGAGAGAGTGCGTGTGTTCTTTATGTGCATATGTACACATATCCTATACGTGAGAACACATACACACACACACACACACACACACACACTCTTGCTCTAAATACTCTGCTATATTGCGCATAAGAATGGCTTAATTTCACAAAGTCTTACATAGGATTATAGGGAGCCTAAATACATGCTCACTGCACAGTATACATCCCTTCACTTTCTCTCAGTATAAGCACCACCCACCTCCATGTGTGTCTGAATGACTGCGTGTGTAGGAGACTACGTTTGGACATTCAAATAATTTTTATTCATGCAAATCTGGCATATTTTGTTCTCAGAGCGAGGATTGAGAAATGAATAATATTAATAGGGGAAACATTCAGAGTACTTTGACTTAACTCACTGTGACCAATTAAATGTGTTATATTCATAGATTCTTAACTGAAGCTTTCTGTACATTTAAAAATGTTGAAATCATCGCTGTTGTATGAAAACGTCCTAACTTTTTTTAGTTTTAATTTTTTTTAGTAATAATAATAATAATAATAATAATAAGAAGAAGAAGAAGCTTTATGTATATAGCACTTTTTGAAACAGATTTACAAAGTACTTTGCTGTGCATTAAAGAATAAGATTTTTTTTTTTTTTACAAAAAACAAGGTTATGAAAATAAAACCATTAACTTTAAAAACAATAATAAAAGATAAAAAAATTATACAAGCTGCCCATTTCTTGATAAATGGACCAATCAAAACAGTCCAAAATGACTTGGAATTCCATTAGTAGTAAGAATAGAGTCAAATTAAGAATAGAGATGCACAATATATAAGTGGGAGACAAATTATTTGCCACCAAGTGGGAAAATATTTTTATTATTATTATTATTATTATCAGCTTGATACTGGAGTTACACTCGATAATTAGAACCAGCTATTGCACCGATTAGTCAGACCTTCTGTCCTATTAACTCACACAAGTGGGTAGCATAGTGGACGACACACCTCACTCAAGAGACTACAGGCCTCATTTATAAAACATACAGAATTAATGAAGTGTTTAAAAATCTATAAATTCAGCAACCAAAAGAGATATTTAGGGACTACTGGAGTAAAACATTATATCTTAGTGGGTGAAAACATTGTCAGTATCTTTTAAAGTCATTTAATATAGAATTTGTTTTTCTATTGACAGATTATTTTACTTGTTGCAAGTAATAACGCAGATAATTTTGATTATTTATCTGGAAATGATGGAAATCTGATATACTAGAGACAATGACTTTAACAAGTAAGGTGCGATTAAGCACCCTACTGTTATAGCAAAGAGAATCCTGGGGCAAGTGAATGGCTATATATAAAAAACCTCTACTAATTAATGTAAAGGTTTATTATTGAAAGTTGAACTGCATAAATAAGAGGTTAAAGCTCACTGCATTCCATATGTATTTATTATAGAGTAAACTTTAAAATCAAAACGCAAAATAAGTAAAATGATCACTATTGGTCATTATATTCCATTTCAGCACATCCCTAGTTAAGAACACGTTTTTCTTCTTCTATAAAGCCACCGTTTCGGAGATATAAGGTTCTGTTACATGATAGGAAGTAAGGCTATACAGTGTTAGTGTCATTTTTATGCTGCAATTACATGGTAGAGGATCCTCCACCTGTTTCAGGCTTAATCTCTTAGTGGCACTGATGAAAACGCTGACAACTGTGAATAGTGTTTTTAAGCAGCCTTTAAATCTACTGCTGTCCCAGAAACCTCTTTCACTTGTTAGTTTGGACTCTCTACTTTGCCGGAAACATTTCATGGCTTCTTTCTCTCTCTCTCTCTCTCTCTCTCTCTCTCTCTCTCTCTCTCTCTCTCTCGCTCTCTCACCGCTCTCTCTCTCTCTGCGTTTCCACTCGTTTGAATAATGAAATTGTTTTTGTTTTAAATGTGCAGCTGAAGAAACAAATATTAGTGCTCGTCCGACAAGAGATGAAGCCATGTAGCACTGATTCAAATGGGATATTAACAATGCCTGCTCAGCTCGGCCCACGGTGGAGCAATCAATTTCGCCCTGAATATTTCAGTGCTCTTTCTCCAGGGCTTCTCTGTCCTGTGTGCTTTTAACTCTCGTGTGTATGTGTATGAGAGAGAGAGAGAGAGAGAGAGAGAGAGAGAGATTGTCCATAACCTGTCAGAGCAGATTACACACAGCGGGTCTGAGTGAAAGCACTCTCTGGATTTCAGTGTATCCCATTTTTATTTCATGATGTTTGCAGATAAAAGAGCAACTCACATTTGCATAGTCAAACATATGCATAACTAGAACCTCATTACCACTCAGGCTTTCAGAAGCAGCAGGTATGGAACTACAACCAGTAGATGCTCGCTATTCAACGTATTCACTGAGCGTACTCAGTATTTTTATTTTCTTTCATCTTCAGTCTGTAACTTTTAAACTTTTGAACTTGCGGCAATGATGAAGACGATGTGATGCACGTACAAGATGGATTTACCGTAATCCATACTGAGTATGGTAGAATCAGTAAAGACGATGATAGTAAAAGCAAGACAAAAATGAATCTAATGACCTTAATAAACTAGAAACTAAACTGAAACAGAGACACACAGTGTCAAACAAAGCATCAAAGTCTAGACAAGGTGGGGCAAAGCCTGACTGGGGAAACTGTGACAACTTGAAATAAATGAACAGCCCACAGTGTAAACTCTTTGCTGCCTTTATATTCAGTAAACCATTGAAAGTGAAAGTTGGTTTCAACTGATTTGAGCACATCTAATTAAATGGCTATCTTCCAAAAAACCCTTAGTGTAATTTTGTTCACATAGCTGAGACATGGATGTCCTACATAAGCTTCATCTCCTCGTCTTTGTCTTTTGTATCTACATATATGACTCTTGTTTCTGGCAGTGTCTTAGCTCAAAGGTGTCTTTAGACCAGGGCTGCCCAAAATGAGGCCCGTGGGTCAAAGATGTTTGATTTGGCCGGCCAGAAGGTTGCCCAAATTCCCCCATGGCCTATGAAGTTCTATGTAACTTCTTGTTTTTGTCTTTATTTCATTTTAAACCACTTTTTATAACACATAATCAGATGTTAGAATGAAGTGTTTAAAGTTTGATGAATTTATGAACCGCAAGAGGATATTTAGGGACCACTGGAGTAAAAAATGATAAAAATGAAAACATCTAGTCAATATCTTTTTTGCAGATAATTTTGATCATTTATTGCCAGTGAAAATATGATATACTAGTGAAAATGTTGAGAAAAAAATCATGTTAAAATACTCTCCCAACAATCTTAAATTTAAAGTAGTAGATATATTAACTAGATTGGAGGTGATTTTACTAACCAAAATATGATTTTTTCAGTGAAAAAAGGGAATTTAAGGACAAAACCCTTCATATGGGAAGCAGGAATATGTGAAGGCGCACATGGTCCATTTTTTCCACATATACTGATGTATTAAAACATAGGGCTAAAAAGCTAGCTAGTTGTTTTGTTTTTTGGCCCTTGGCTCCCCACAAACATTACCATTTGGCCCCTGGGAGCCACTGCTTTAGACTGTTGCCCTGGGTAAGTTAAATGCCATAAATGTAAAGTTAAGTGTTCTTTATAGTAAACTATAGTAATTGTCCCATAGAAGTGCCTGTATTATTACTATAGCTCTTGTTCATATGGGAGTGTTTGTGTGGTCTCCCTCTTAAACTGCTTTCTTTATGCTACATCTTTCACCCATTAGCTAGTATGGCAAGAACAATGAACAATGCAGTTCAAAACAGGTTTCAGCTGTTGTGCGCAACACACTGCAATCCTCAACATATTATCCCCTGCTATATTAAAGTACATCCTGGCGCTGGGTTTAGTGGCTGGATCTGTGTGTGAGTGTGTGTTTAAGTCTGCGTCCTCACACTGTCCCTCTCTTTTCCACAGATCACGGGGGAGAAAAAACCCTCCGCAGACATGATGAAGCCCAAGCCCAAGCCACAGAAGAAGAAGAAGAAGAAGGATCCCAACGAGCCACAGAAGCCCGTCTCGGCCTATGCTCTCTTCTTCCGGGACACTCAGGCAGCCATTAAAGGCCAGAACCCCAACGCCACCTTTGGAGACGTCTCCAAGATTGTGGCCTCCATGTGGGACAGTCTGGGAGAGGAGCAGAAACAGGTGAGGTTTTGCCCGGTTTTGTCACGGCCTGGAAGTGTGGAGGATTGTAGTGCTTATGCTCGTGTGGGCTTGCTCATCTTAATATGCCGTATGAAAACCTTCAAGGCAAACTGTTAGATCAGAAGGATCAAACTCATGTCCTTACAGCAACAGTGAAAAATGTATTTATACCGGTTTACCATAAAAATGGGCAAAATGTGGGGAAAATGAAAGCTTCAAAGTAGTTGCTTGTAGGGCTGGGTACTGTTCAACATGTTTTGATATCAATACTTCGACTTCAGTGATGACTCCATAATGGTGCTTTTTTCAGTTTCTTCTTTTAATTACCAATCTGAAAGTAAGTGTGGCTTAAATCAGACAGCAGAAGTGCAATATATTATCCAGACATCCAGTCAGCAGTCAAGAGTTTTAAATAAGCATGTCTATTGGCTCATGGATGCTGATAAGACTGACTGCTTAGGTATTGAAATTTGACACGGAATGATATACCGTATTGAAGTAATCTGGTCGGTAACATAAAAGCCTTGAATTTTGTTACTGTTTTTAGCTGCTTGATGTATGTTTTTTCCATTTTTTTTAGATAAGCATGTCATACATTCTTAGAACTCACATAAGCAAGAATAATTAATAGGATTCAAAGCTGCACTATAAAAAAAAATAAAGAAGTATCATTACTGAGAAAAGAAAAACATGCTAAAATATAAGTTTTTCAGACCACGTCATCTTAACATCACATACACTCAAAAATAAGAATATCCAGCTCAATGTTTAGGTCTTGAATGCAAATCTATATTATAATGAAGATTTAATGAAAATAATAGTTAATTTTACTCAGAAGTCATTCACCAAGTTTTGACCCAGTTTCTCTTTGAATCTTCTTTCGATGTGCTCACATTCATCACATTCATCCACTCAGGGAAGGGGTCCGAAGCACACCCGACAAATCTCCTTCCGCTCATTGTGTGCAATGACAATTTTCCACCAGAGAGGGCTTAATCCCTAAAATTTACATAAGCAATCAAAAGCCTAGGCTGCATTTCTTGGCCGCTACGTCATAGAAGGACATTCCAAAGTGAAAGATCCTTCGTATACAGCCTAGAAATGCAGCCTACGTTGAGTGATTTCAAGGACGCAGCAGATGTGTCCTTCCCACCCTTCGGTTACCCACAGTTCTCTGTGCACGAACGACGTGAATGAAAAAAAAACAGCACCAAGAAAATGACGTAAAACGAAGCTGTTGGAGCAGAGCTTGTTTTAAAATGTAAGTTATACACGTCCTTGAATTTGTTTTCGTAACCTTAAAAAGTGTAAAGTGATTAATTACAGCATTCGTCCATATATTGCATATCGTCCATATATCGTATTTTATTTAGAAGTATTTGTGTGAATGTAGATTATCGTACTACATAAAAACATCGCCTCCATTTCCGTGAAGAAATGAAAAAGCAACAAACACAATGAAACGGGCTCCATTTTCTCTCACCAGTTCCTTCACACTGAGAGGCAGGGCCTTTCTGGTGATGTCACCACGCAGCCTCGTTAGGACTCTTTCATTTGTGTAACCAACAGGCTACTAAGGAGAAGGACAGTCTTACCGAGTACCCGCCCTACCGCGGCTGCAGCTTTGGAACACAGCTATAGTGTAGCTTTAACAGCTCTACGTGATTAGAGGCGAATGTCTGATGATTTAGGCGTGCAGTTTGCACAGTGCTAATTGGAGATCTATAAGCTTCCTTCATGTGTTAGCCTCATAGCTCCAGTGCAAAACGAAAGAAGTGGACTTCACACACCTATCATGTCTTAGTCGATCTAGTACATTTAGGGTAAGAGGAGAATTGTGTTATTGCTTTTTAGCAGTTTTTTAACTTTGACACACCTTTTAATCATTTGCATCCCTACCCTGCACACTGCTGTACAGTAACAAAGATTTCTGTTCTGAAGTCCTGATAGTAGCAGAGCTAAAGGGCAGCATTTGAGACAGCCTCTGCTTGCTGTTGGTCTAGATCTGTATAATTTATATATACTTGAGGGTTTTTTTTTACATATCTGCTTATCAGTCAGTTTGTTCAGGAAAAAGTAGTTATCTTAGCTTTCGTGTGTGTATGTGTGTGTGTGTGTGTGTGTATGTATGTGTGTGTGTGTGTGTGTGTGTGTGTATGTGTGTGTGTCTTTGTGTGTGGATTTGTGTGTGCATGTGTTCTTCAGTAATGAGCTGCGCATGAAGCAGAGTGATGATGTGTGTGAGAGACAGAGAGGGATAGAGAGAGAGAGGGAGAGAGGGAGAGAGAGGGAGAGGGCCACTGTATTTTTAGAATATCCTCCATAACAAAGGCCTGCTATTGCATGTCAAATAAAAGCACCTGTCTCCATGACAGAGTGCAGACCACTCACCCCACTGCCATGTGATATTTCTCTCTCTCTCTGTCTCTCTCTCTGTCTCTCTCTCTTTCTCCCTCTCTCTCCCTCTCTCTCTCTCTCTTCTTTTCTGTGGGCTGCTGTGTGTCCTTTTATGTGCAGTTAATTTTTGCCTCCTTCCCTTCTACCCTCTTCACCATGAATCTTCATTTTGCCGCTGACACTCTTGAATGTGAATTCCTCATTTCCTCGGCCCTTTTATTTATATCTGTTGCCTGGTGATTTGATCATGCTGAGAATACAAGATTAGCCATCGCCCGGCGCCCTTCTTTTCTCCCTCAAGGACATCTGCTCTCCGAAATGTTATTGTTTGTGCTTCTTAACCCTTCATCCACCAGGACGTTCAGACACTGATATAGATTTGTGAATGCCTGTCCTTTTTGCTTATTTGTTGCATTTAATTGCTTCGTTACTGCAGACGTTAGATATGAGGAAAATAGGGTTTCCTCTGAAAATCATAACAAGGTATCCTTTCCCTCGGTGAGATGGGGAAGATTTGGATTTTTCCTTTTTTATTTCTTTTTTTTTGGTCCATGACTCAGTTTTGAAACTTCAGAACACATCTGTTACATATCAGTGGAGCTGATGAGGTCATCGAGCGATGGCTCCCAGAGCTCTAATTAGTGGCAGTCAGGTCATCTTTTGATGACATCATCACCTGCCACCAATCATTCTCAGTGCCAGTATAACAATATTTCTCCTTCAAAGTGAGATATGGTTAGATATATACAGTAATTTAGCAAAAAAATCGAATGTACACATTTGACCCTTTTACTTCAAATGTAGTCAAATTTATATTTGTAAAAACATTTTTGCAGGTGTCTTGGAATTTTTTTTTTTTTAATTGTTTGGCAGAAAACTTTATTTAGCCTGTTTTCTGTAGTAAATCAGACAACAAATGTTTAGTGTCTGAAGTTTGCTTTGTTGACTATTGTAGTAGAGCTACAAGGCTAATGTAGCTAATAGTGTTGTAGTCAAGACTACTAGAAGTGATTTCAGGCCAACACTGAGACCGAGACAAGACTGAGACCAGGAGTAACTGAGACAAGACAAGACTGAGACCAGGAGTAACTGAGATTGAGACAAGACTGAAACCAGGTGTAGCTGAGACTGAGACAAGAGTGAGACCAGGAGTGGCTGAGACCGAGACAAGACTGAGATCAGGAGTGTCTGAGACCGAGACAAGACCGAGACTAGGAGTGGCTGAGACCGAGACAAGACTGAGACCAGGAGTGTCTGAGACCGAGACAAGACTGAGATCAGGAGTGTCTGAGACCGAGACAAGGCCGAGACTAGGAGTGGCTGAGACCGAGACAAGACTGAGACCAGGAGTAACTGAGACTGAGACAAGACTGAGACCAGGAGTGGCTGAGACCGAGTCACGACTGAGATCAGGAGTGGCTGAGACCGAGACAAGACTGAGACCAGGGGTGGCTGAGACCGAGACAAGACTGAGACCAGGAGTGTCTGAAACCGAGACAAGACTGAGATCAGGAGTGGCTGAGACCGAGACAAGACTGAGACCAGGGGTGGCTGAGACCGAGACAAAACTGAGACCAGGAGTGTCTGAGACTGAGGCAAGACTGAGACCAGGGGTGGCTGAGACCGAGACAAGACTGAGACTAAATTAAGATTTTTTTTTCAGAATAGAAAAAGTAAAAAGAACAAAGGGGAAAAAACTGAAATTAATTTGTAATTCATTGTGCATTCCTTATCATTTGCTGTACATCATATATATTAATAAATAATATTATATTTTATTGTACAATATTATTGTAAAAGATAACATTAAATAATATGTAGCATAGAATATTATTATTTATTATTATATGATTGTCTTAGTCCAAATTTGCATCATAATTTTTGAAAGCAAATGATGGCAAGATTCTTCTGTGTCCCTCATTCAGAATCACTAAACTCAACTAAAGTCATTTGAATATAACCAAATAACATACATCCATTTTTATTAATTAATGAAAACATAGTAATAATAACATTCAGATCTGCCCTCAGGGGATGTTGGAATTTGGGAACTAATGAAAATCAACAAATGAATAATATCCAGTAAAGTCTTCATGGAAAAATCTATTAGATCTTCAACCTGCAGCAAACAGATTCTGTTTAAATATGTAGAGAAATTACTGTTTTATTCTGTTTAAAGGTTTAATTGATATTAAGTATTAATAGAAAAAAAGCTCTGTTTCCAGTTAAGTCAGACAGAAGCATTGCACTCGGCTGGTCTCGACCAATTTCCACCTTGCCCCAGTACCGAGACAAGACAGAGTCCGAATGTTGTCGAGACCGAGACCGGACTTGAGTAGTACAGCACTGGTTGCTAAGAAGTAATGGTCATTTATGCCCCAGCAATTAGCACTGTGAAAACAGCACGTCTGAATCATCACAAGTCGTTAAGCCCTCTGAGACAGACTTGCTTGGACATATCACACTGTATGACATACTGTTGCCTATAAAAATGGACAAAAGTACAGACAAAATTCAGGCTTGAAGGCGGCGGCTGCTGTTGTTTTTACCTATATGGCACTCTTTTACTCCCACACCCTAACTAAACTTCAACTTCAACAAGT